AACATGACTTCTGAAATGCAGGTACAAAAAAGTGTGTCACAATGCAGCCATTCAAATTAATCAATGGAAAAAAAAAAACAACAGAATGTGATACATGCTATACAAAATTTAGCTAAGAAAGAGACATTTTAATAAAGCAAGCAAAGAAGATGAAAAGAAAAATAACTTACGAGGAACAAACTGGGATACAATCATGCGGAGGCATGGCCTAAGATGGACAGTTTGTGCTGACACCAGATTACCAAGAAAACCCAGATATTCTTCCACTACCTCTCGGCTTCTTCGCAACCATGGCAGCTTCTGAAAGCAAGTAAAAACAGAGATGTTGAACAGATGTTTTGAGCACCAAGCTCTTAAACTTCCCATAGAACAAACAGATACATACTAGCAAAAGGCTGACCAGTTGGTCAAAGTCCTTGGTCAAATAGGTAACAGAAGCTCGGAATTCATGCAGCCAATTAATGATCTGGGCATCCTAAAAATAAGCAGAAAAAAAAAAGCAACTATTTCAATAAACAATATGATCAAACTATTTTTAATAGCAACAACTATAAAACCACAAGTCAAAGATTAAGACTGTAAATAGAAATTATTTAGAATAAATATAAAAGGGATTTCTTGAACTAAATTAGTGCACTCACCAATGATATTCTTGAATGAAAGAATAAATGCCTATCAACTCCTAAACCAAGTTTGCCTGGAAGGCTTAAGTTACAAGCTCAGCAAGGCATGCAAAACTCACTTGGACAGACTCAGAATTAATTTATTTTTGTTCTTAGTTTGCAAAGAGCCATTCAGGTTTTGAAGTAAGACATACATTGAAACTGTAGCAAATCTACACAAAAAACTGTACAGTGAATTTGCTTGTACTCCCCAAAAGGCCTGCTAAAGACAATACCACTTTACAAAATGTCCTCCTTAAAAAGAAAAGGAACTTAATATAACATAATGCTTCCTGCAGCACTCTTTGTATTACTGGGCTCTGTGGTTTGATTGAAAGAGAAAACAAAATGGAAAAAGGGCAGCAAACATGGCAGGTATTCACAGCTATAATGAACATTCCTGAAACTATTATTTTAACTGCTAAATACATATGCACCTTAATGCTTAATTAACTGTACATTCAGTGAGAACGAGAGGTAATGATTGACACAGCTTAAAGGCACTGCAAGTCAGCAGCCATGGTTTGACGTAACCATGGTTAGTGATCTGCAGACAAACATCACTGACCTAGAAGGATACCTTGAAGAATCATAGAATCATAGAATATCCTGAGTTGGAAGGGACCCTTAAGGATCATCAAGTCCAACTCTTGACAGCGCACAGGTCTACCCAAAAGTTCAGACCATGTGACTAAGTGCACAGTCCAATCTCTTCTTAAATTCAGACAGGCTCGGTGCAGTGACCACTTCCCTGGGGAGCCTGTTCCAGTGTGCAACCACCCTCTCTGTGAAGAACCCCCTCCTGATGTCAAGCCTAAATTTCCCCTGCCTCAGCTTAACCCCGTTCCCGCGGGTCCTGTCGCTGGTGTTAATGGAGAAAAGGTTTCCTGCCTCTCGACACCCCCTTACAAGGAAGTTGTAGACTGCGATGAGGTCTCCCCTCAGCCTCCTCTTCTCCAGGCTGAACAGGCCCAGTGCCCTCAGCCGTTCCTCGTACGTCTTCCCCTCCAGGCCTTTCACCATCTTCGTAGCCCTCCTCTGGACACTCTCCAACAGTTTCATGTCCTTTTTATACTGTGGTGCCCAGAACTGCACACAGTACTTGAGGTGAGGCCGCACCAGCACAGAGTAGAGCGGGACAATCACCTCCCTTGACCTACTAGCAATGCCGTGCTTGATGCACCCCAGGACACGGTTGGCCCTCCTGGCTGCCAGGGCACACTGCCGGCTCATATTCAACTTGCTGTCTACCACGACCCCCAGATCCCTCTCTTCTAGGCTGCTCTCCAGCGTCTCATCGCCCAGTCTGTATGTGCAGCCAGGGTTTCCCCGTCCCAGGTGCAGGACCCCATCCATCACAAAACAAAGTTTCTCACCCTAATGTCAGTAAGCCTGAGGCATCTTTTATCAAGATTCTGCATACAGGATATATGTGTAAACCAACAGTTGGTGGTTTTCATTCAGAGATAATTCTGACAGATTCCACAAAGCAAAAAGCTGTTAAATGCTGCTAAATGTTTAAAGCAAAGGATTTGGTGACACCAGTGTGACCTGTCTGACAGGTGACATTCAGACAGCTGAGCATTAAATCATGAGAGCTCCACGGTGACACGACTTACCTTTATGTCTGGGTCTGACAGCTGGTGCTTTAACAACTCATAGTCAGTGGTGTCACCCTAGCAGGGGGAAGAAAAATAAAGAATATTTACTACCCTTCTGACAAAACCCACACGTGCCGCTAACGTGCCTAAGCGGCCTAACGCTGCTAAACAGCGACATAAAGAAGGCGAACACGAGGGGAAGCCCACGGAGGGCGGCGGCAGCAGCACGAGGGGGAGCTGGAGCTGCAGCTGACGGGCCGTTTGTGCCACCCTCTCTGCAGACAGCGCCGGGGTCGCCGCCCCTCCGCAGGGCCGCTCCCGGAGGCTCACCTGGCCGTACTTGAGCAGGATGTCGGGCAGGGTGCCCCCGAAGCGCACCGCCTTCCTGGGCGGCGAGCTCAGGAACTCGTCCCCCCGCAGCATGGCCGCGGCGCCGCGCACGGGGGGCCGGTCCCGAGCGCTGCGCGGCCCCGCCGCTGCCCGCTCCTGTCCCGGCCCGGCCCCGGCAGCGGCCCCGCCGCCCGCCGCCGCCACACGCCGCCGGAAAGGGCCCCGCGTCCCGCCGGAAGCGGGCACCGCTCCGCCCCTCGCACCATAGAGATGAGCGGCTGGAAGGGCAGCGGCCGCTCTGCCTGCGCGTCGCTGGGGAGGGAGGAGCAGAGGAGGTGGGCTCAGGGTGCGCCAGGGGAAGGGCGGGTCGGGGACGAGGGGAGCTTGGTGCTGCGGAACACATTGCTGCTCAGGAACAGCAGGCAGCATTGGGAAGGGCTGCCCAATGGTGGAGTCACCGTCCCTGGGGGTGTTCAAGGAAAGGTTGGACCTGGTGCTTAGGGACATGGGGTAGCAGGTGCCAGTGGCGGTGTGGGGATGGTTGGACCAGAGGAGCTGGGAGGGCTTGTCTGACCTCAGCGATTCAGGTTCTGTCTGCAGCAGCACCGGAGAGCATCTGGCGTTAGTCCCCTTCACCAGCTCTGCACACCCTGCCCTGTAGTTAATACTTCCCTCCCACCTGCTTGCCTCCCCAGAAGTCCCACTGGATCTTTGGTAGAATTTATGAGTAACTTCCATTTGGTTTCTCCATGGATTAGATGTTCCTATTGAAAGAAGAAAAAATTATATATATATATATATATAAACACACACACACAGAGCATTAAAACTTTCTTTAGGTCCAGTCCACATCTGAAGAGCCCCAGGCCAAGCGTGTAGCCTTCCATGTGGCTATGAATTAAGGGTGACGCAATGCCTTAGCGGTCGGTCACTGCAGGAAGTGGCACAGAGGGTGCCACGCTGAGCTAGTTTCAGGTAACCAGCTACAAAAGGCTCCTGTATAACCACATAACAAAGATCCAAGCTGTGGTTACTGGAGACTTTGGCTACATTTTAATAAAACAGTCCTATGCGTTCTGCAAGGCTGAATAAATCCAGCTTCAGATGTGTGACTACGTTCACACACCGACAGCACTCCCAAGCATGTACAGCTGCTTTACCATCCACAGCATGAAAGTTCTTTGAATGGACTTTGTGCTGCATTGAGCTACAACTGATAAGGATACCAGGAGACTAAAATAGTGCTAAATATTCGTTAATGTTTAACTGCTGACAATTGTTGGAGCTGCCAGTTCCTATTTAGTGTTAGCCTTCATTATTTAGAACACAAAGAACGAACTGCATGAAATGGTACCTACTTCACATTTAAAAAAAAAGTAAATGTGAAAACAAAAGAAAACCACAATATAGCTTACAGTAGTTAGCACTGCTCCACAACAAGTACTTTTTACATCACTGTTTAGACACATCACACTAGTAACACTATAGTGCTTCTCTGTGAAGACCATAATCTTTCTTTTCTGATGTTCCAACTCCTATATTTAATTATTAATTCCACATACTATTCATAACTGTAAGCATTTAAATCCTATATACTCTGGGTGACGTGGCAACATTCTATCTACCATCCTACCCAGCAATCACTAAGTATGTGACATTGCATACAAGATTCATATCTCATAATCCACAGTGAATTCATAGCCCTGCTGAATTTACTCAGATAATTATGATCACAACACTAAAGCAGAGAGAACTGTCACTAGACTAGTACATGAACAGCTGCACGTGCAAGTTTAGGGTTAATTTATCGCTCCTACTAACCAACTAGACATTACATCTCATAGTGCAGTTTAACAGTTGGAGCTACAGGGAATTCAGGAAAAGCAAGTGGCTTTTCAGAACAGAGAAAAAAAAATGGGAATGACGTTGAAATGATCAGTAGGTTTTAGGGAGGAGGGTTTTTGTTTATTTTTAAACCAACCATTGTAATAAAACAGTGGTATCACATTGCAGTTCCTCTAATAGGAGGAAACAGCTCTACAAAACTCCTAAAACCTGCAGTCAGTAAAGAAGAAATTATAGACCTTCAAATCTAGGGTCTACCTGAACTTGCTGAAAGATTGAGAGAATTTGGAAAACATTTTAAAAACACTGGATACCTGTCAATATTACTCCAGTAATTTTCAAGAGAACATTTGAGAGTTCACAAGGAAATACAGCCACAGTATTCTCGGTGAGCCCTTTTCTTAAACCCACTTCCACTGTTCGATAAAGCTGCAGTATAAAACCAATTGCGCATTAAAAATGTAAGACTTTTTTTTTTTTTTTTGTATTTGCTGATGGTGGGCTCAAACTCTTTGTATTAGTGCAGAAACAGAGGGACTCAGGAATTCCTCACATACAAAAATTTTACATATCATTAACTTTAATATAAATTTTCCCACACACAACCCAACCCTAATTTCAATCACACCTAGACATAAATTTGGCAAGATTCTGTAAAATATCATTGTGCTTATTGGTCTTTTTTTTTTTTTTTTTGACATTGTAGGGTTTTTTTAGTGCTTCAGCATTAGAAAAATAATTCTTGCATCATCACTGGATTAAAAAAGCTCTTCTAAAAGTCATCATATTACATGATACACAACTATAAAGAAAAGATTGGCGTACCAACATCACTATTATTATTTTTTACCTATAAAATTTCAAATTCTAAATTATTCCAAAATAATGATGAAAGTTCACAAGAGACACTGTAAATTATCTATGTACACTATAAACAACTACTACATTTGTACCCTTGCATCAACAGTTTTACATTTACATTTAAAAGCACCCTTACAAATAGAAGTATTGCACTGGCATCATAAAAATTCACAGTAAGTTCAACTTCTAAACCTTCGTAAAACAGTGCAAGAGTTTTTCATTGTGCAAGAGCTTTTTATCCAAACATTCCCAGGTTATTACAAAAGATACTTCTACATTACATGCTGCAGTTATTTTCCTGTGAATTTGTTTTGTTTCCTTTTTAGTTCTCACTTCTTAGAAGATAGATTTTAAATTCTGAAATGGTTAAGAAGAAGTGATCCAGTCCAACACTGAGAGAGGTGCATTTGGCAGGGATATAGCTCCACTTTATACAGAGTCCACAGTGGTTGCAGAAATTATTCCAGAATGAGAGAATCCTATTGCATTGAGTAGGGAATTCTCTTTCCATAATTTGTAGCACTTTCCCCACTTTTAAAGGCAGTAACTTCAACAGTCATGGCTTCAGCAGACCCTGAAGATAACACATTAAGAAAAGGTTACTCCAAAGTAGTCTTAAAACAAATCAGTACATAAAACTCTAAGCCATTATTTGAAATAAGTCTTAAAAAAATACTTTTCTACATGCTTAGCAGCCCAAATAATAACAAAAATTACATTACTAGCCCACCTCCAATGGTGACCACGTGTGGATGTTAGATAAAGATCACAGTTCTCTCTTTAAGATATTATCTCAACTTCCACTTACTGCCCCACATCTTCCCCAGCCAAATATATTATCATTTTATCACTTCTGTTTTTTCCTCCAGCTTTTTGAGTCTGTAAACTTTTAAGCACCCCATTACCTTATGCCAAATATCACATGGCCCAGTTGCATAACATGCAACAACTTGTGGATGCCCACTTTGTCTTGGAAGAGGTAATAAATAATCATTCCTTCTGCACTTTTCCATACCATTTATGACTGTACAGACCTCTAGCATATGTTATATTCTGCCTCTCCTTGCAGGCTCGAGGATCTTACCATACTTATTCCTCCTTTAATATAACTTATTCCATATCTCAAGAGCTCACTTATTTGCTCTTGAAAATGGTGTAGTTTTCAAGAAACAAAATCAGAACAGCATGCGGTATTTCATTAATAGCATTAAAAATTAGTAATCACAAGAACCAGAAAGTTACATAAGTGCCAAAAAAAATTGCTTAAGTAGTTTCTGGAAAGAGCAGACTTCCTTATTAAGGCAACAGTTCATTTCCAGACGTTTGCACTTCTCCTTAACATTGAGGTTTTTATACTGGGAGAAATCTCAAGGTAACATCTCAGGAAGCAACTTCTAATGGCCAGTATGTTGTGGTGGTTTGGGTTTTTTGTGCATGTTTTCCTTTGGGGAAGGTGGGGTTGGAGGATTGTAATTTTTTTTTTTTTTTTTTTCCTCTCCTTGCTCTCAACATTACCTGCCCAAACACGTTTTACCTGCTTGGTGAAGTTCATAAATATCCCCAGATATGCAGAAGATTTGGTCTATCAATAAAGGGTGATCTAATTCAGACAGTTGCTTATGAGAAGGTACAAAGTATTTCAGATACACCTACTTCAAAGAGATCCCTAAATTATCTTGGAGGTGCAACTATTTGTTATTTTGTATTTTGCCTTGAAAGTTAAAATTGGAGTTCATATTACAATCTGTACCACAACTCATACACTCATTGTTTTGGTTTCTTCTGAATTATAATTACTAAGGCACCTGCACTGAAGTCTGTTTACTGTAGCATTAGAAGTTGCTATTCACGGGGGAGAACTCACAATGAAGTCTTCTAAATATCTGCCTCCACGGGAAATAACAAACCATAGATTTGAAATTAGCAACATGCAAGATTTGAAATATTTAAAAATACTGGATAACTTTCACTACTAGTAGTTTATTACAGCAAAGCACACATCTATGTATGCATATTGAAAGTAGGACCATCTACAGAGATAGCAGCTTATCTACTCAACTCAATAACCGTATATTTTAGATGAAAAGTGTTAGGCATATTAATTTACAAATGTCATTTCTTTCCTGCAAATGTAGATCTTGATCAGTCATTTCTAAACCCATTTCAGCAAAATCTAAAAAGAGTATGGAAGGAGAATGACTTATTTTCAACAGCCCATTTCTTGTTGCAGATAGTTAATAATAAACTACACAGCAGCAGTAACAAACCTTCCAAGTTGTATTGCTGTTCTTATCCCCCCCTTCTACAAGTTTTCTGTTAAGCAATGTTGTATCTCCCTACTGTTAGAACTTCCTCTCAAGAAATTCTGTGGCTTTTACAGAAGGCAATTTTCACATGAACTTTTCTGTAAGCCAGAAGTTGTTTCAAGATTTACTTTCAAGGAGCAGCAGAAAAAGCTAACCTCATAGACAGTGAATCAGAACCATAAGATGTTCGGCACCCCAAGTAATTCAGGCAGTTAGTGCAAAGTAGGTCTCACGGTTCTTTCAGAATAGGATTTTACACAGTGAAGTGAAAAATTTACTTTTTTTGGACACTATCAAGTCATTACTCATATTTTTCTTCCTAAATAAATACGTTGTATTAATGAACATACTAGGGATATTTTGAAAGCCTTTATGATCTTTGGTGTTTGCCAAGAAAGAAGTATTTCACATTGCTAGAGAAGGATCTTTCTCACAAGAGTTCATGTGGGCAGCAGCTCATGGCTACATTACCTCACACTAACTGCTCGCAGACACTGTGAGCTGTATGAGGACCAGTCCCAAACTGCACAGCTTGGTTCTTGCCCCTGACAGACCTCGCAGCGAGCGACCCCATGCCAACTGCCTCATGCTCACGTGTGCTTGGTTCACGGTGGCCCTTTCCATCCTTCAGTGTCTTCAGGAAGTATCACACCTGCTTAACCAAACTCGGGACACTTCCCTCACTTGATTTCTATTACTACCAGGATCGAGTAAGATTCCATGAGATTTCTATTACTTCCCAGAAGCGGGTAAGATTCCACGAGATTATTATTTTTTAAATTTGTTCTGCTGTGGGCAGGTGCTTTCACTTAACGAGCTTTTTGACAAGAAGGTAGGAGGGTTTTCTGGGGCAAGTCTCAGGTAGGAGGACTTTGAGGGGTTCCAGACACACACCTGCGATGTCCCCCCGCGGCTCCCCGGGGCCGAGGCCCTCCCGCCCCTCACCTGCTGGGCTCGGCGGGGCGGCCCCGCGGGCCCCTCAGCTCCAGGTCGGCGGTGGCGGCGGCTCGGGTCCTCGGCGCGGAGCCGAAGGCCGAGGACAGGCGGCGGCTGAGGCCGTGCACCAGCCCCCGCAGCACGCTGTCCCCGCGGCCCTTGGGCGGCGCCAGCCCCACGTCGTCGCGCAGCTCCTCCAGAGGCACCTCCAGGTTGCCCGCGTACCAGAACACCCACCAGATGAGGCTGAGGAAGATGCCGATGCCGCCCGCGTAGATGAGCAGGTCGGCGAAGAACACGTCGGCGAACACCCCGGCCAGCAGCACCGCCAAGCCCAGCGCGTCGAAGGCCAGCGCCAGCCAGAAGGCGGCCACGCAGCGGCCCAGCCCGCCGGGGGCCGCCATGGCGGGGGAGCGGCGCCGCCCGGGGCCGCCCGCACCTGAGGCGGAGGCGGCGCCACACCTGAGGGGTGGCCGCGCCTCCTCCAGCCGCACCTGCTGGTCCGCCGAGGCGAAGGGCGGGAGGGAGGCGGCCGCCCTCAGGCTCTCTGTAACCGCTTAGAGACCCGTCCCTGCAGCTGGACTTCTCTCTCGGGTGTTGGGCGCCGCCGGCAGGCTGCTGCCTCCTGCCCCTGACGCGTCGAGGCTGCTGCTGTCCGGTAGTCAAGTCGTGGCGGCGCTGCCCCGCTTCGTGAGGGAGGAGCGGGGCTTGGAGGCTGCGGGTGTTCCCGCAGGTAAGCTGGGCCCTGAGGTGAGGTTTTTGCCTCAGCTGGCTGATGCGCAGCCTGCTCTTCCCCAGAAGGGAGGAACGCCAGAAGGAGTCTTGAAGTAAAGGTACCTGTCCCACACAGCTACGTGTGTGAGATGAGGCAGTTCCTACTGGGCAGGGGATTTGCAAGGCAAATATAAAGTACATCTGTAGGGTCATATAGAGTGCTTTAACTACGTGTTTGAGGAGATTGCCTTAAAAAGAGCAGTCAGAATACAACTTCACGTTAACAAGCAGGAAGCTAGTTGTGAATGCAGGTATAGAGGGGAAAAACCCAGCAGGTAAAACTGTTATGTAAAAGGCAAGCTGCGTATCTCAGTTCAGTCTTGTGAGAGTTAATGACCTGGCACACAACGTCCCACCTTCTAGCACTCCAGGTCCCCAGGCCCAAGAACTATATACAGCTGTAGGCTTTCATGCATGTACCCTCAGGAGGCTATTCTAACAAATTGCTTAATGATGGGTAGCCATGCTATTCCAGTAAGCAGAAATGTCAAACCAATGAAAAGATGCAAAGGCCTGACAGTATGTGCAACTGCCATATATTTCCCACAGTGTGCCAAGAACAGTGCCACTGAGGACAACGGTGACAAGGAGTGCGATTGGTTTACTGCACTAAGACCATGGACTCTCAATTTCAGTCATAGCACTTAGTTCACATATCACTGCTCCTGCTGGAGGTGGAGAATCAAAACTAGATGAAGCCACTTCTTTAGGGATTGCCTGCCTCCCTGATGTTATTCCATAAAAGATATCCTTAGGAAGACACAAGCTGAAATTATCTGAGAAAAAAATAATAATAATAAAGTTAAAAATACACTGAGTACTTCAACAATAAAATATCTTTCACTTTGTTACTATAACTGTTAAGACAGAAGTGGTCTAAGGTCTCAAAAAGCCTGTTCTGCTATTCTCCCTGATTAATTTCAAATATCTTTTGCGTTTTAAAGTTTAAACCTAGTTTCAGTAAAACACCCACTTTTTTTTTGTTTGTTTTTTGATTCCTCTTCTGCCTTGTGTTAAGTAATGTTCTAACTTTTGTCCTTCTCAAAAGTGTAAGAGAAGGAATTTACCAGTTATCCAAATCTGAGTGAGGTTCAAATACCTACTTAGTTTTATTATTATTCTATTAATTCAGGACAGTTTTAGGAAGTCAAGCTAATTTTAGGGTTATACATATATATAGGGTTATATAATATATATATATTCTGACAACAGGGAATTCCAACAGTCATATATAATTTTGCCATATACATATTTTGGTGGTTGGCTATGATCATTATGCTTAATCTGAAGATTAATAGGGGGAGAGGTCATGTCTTAGAACAATGGAGTAAGAAGCACTGAAGGAAGTTTAAATAGAAGTCAGTATTAATAATCCTGGACAGATGGTATTTTTCTTCCCTGTTAATCTGCCCATGGAAATCCATTTTTGAGGAAGAGCTCAGAGGTCAAGACTTGACACTGCTGAAATTACTAACATGTTGAATACATCTCCATTTGATTCTTTAAAAAGCAACCAGACATATAAATCAGAGTAGAATAACAACGTAGATGGTTCCCTCTCTTGGCAAGAGGAAGTAGTACAGCAGCCTTTTTTGGGGGCTTCAGTAGAATAGTAATTAGCAAGTTAGCTGCACTAAATTGTTTCAATGTAGTTTTCTTTTTGAAAGATTTAGTTTTTGACTCCAGGTTTTCCTTATAATGGACATGTGTTAGTTCCCACTCTAATAAAAACATGGAGAACAAATGAGCAACATAAAATGAATTCTGTAAAAAACAACCACACTGTGTACTACTAGAGCATATATTTTGGCAATATCTTTATCAAAACTTTCAACTAAAAGACTTCTTACAGAAGCTTTCTTTGACCTAGCAGCAATCAGCTCTTGCTGCAAATAGTAAAAATGAACCAGATTACTTTTTGTTTGTTTGTTTTCTTGTGAGAGTGCTGATGTTTTAAATGTTACTGATTTCCTCTTCCCTTCTATCCTCTGTATAGCCTCTGTGCTTTCAGTTCTTCTAAAGGAAGTTTAAGTTCACACGAACAATTCACACAAAGAGGTTTCTATGTTTCATTCCTCCTTCCCACCTTCAAGAAAATTTAAATTATCTATAAATTGCTTGGTCTATACATGTCTCTAAGCATTTACCCAGGAACATACTTGATTTGTTTTAGCCTCCTGATGCTCATTGCCACAGAGGTACTAGTGCCTTGACTAGTACCTGCTAGCTGGTCTTGTAAGGCTGAACTGAATTCCTACCAATCTGCGTTGCAGAGCTAAATCAGCTTAGCTTTAGAGGGTGTATTTTTCACCTCAGCTGCTTCTGATTGCATAAACAATTTATTATATTCTATTATTTCATTATATGGGTGCTTATGTAAAGGAAGTGAAGAGACGGTTTTGTCTTTTCAGCTTGGTAGTTGTAATTATTTAATGGAAAACAATCATGTTATACACCAGAATTGATTATGTAATATATCAGCAATAGGCACAGTTTCAGTTTATTTGGAATGAATATGTTTTTCTTATTTCCTCCTTTTTTTGTTTGGAAAGTGTTAAGTTTCCCTAGGTCTCTTACGCAAGGAAAACATAACTGAGAGTGAGTTGAGAAATGTAATTCTCTGTTAACTGTGTTAACTTACTGATTCCAAGCAAGGGTGACTACTACAAATGTCTCCAAGTGAATATCTGTGATGGCCATGTTAAATTATTACCCCGATTTTATGAACTCTAAATATACATATATATATTTAAAATGAAAAAAAAAAAGAGTACATTACTTATAGGAAATGTAAAAATTGCATCAGTAGTGGCACATCTTAGTTAACTGGCAGAATCCTGGATACTTTGCAACTTGAAAAGGAACAAATTCTGCTATATAGAGAATAGAAATTATATGTACTTTCTCTCCAGTGGCTTAGTTTGTAGCTTCATCAGGTGCTTTACATCTTACCTAGCTATGAATTCCAGAGCTGCTATGACCATAAAGGCTACTGCAATCCCAACATAAATTGCCTCAAACTGCTGTAGAATTTCCAAGCAGTGCTTGTTAATTTTTCCAGTGCAAAGGATGTGCTTTTCTAGCACCTACAAGCTAGTATGATTCACTGTTAATTACACAGACGGAAGTTATGATCTTCATTTCCTAATTTTCTGCATATCTACAAATTAACAAATGATTTATCATGGATAATTAGGTACCAAAACATGTTTCCAAAAATGGAGGTGAGTTCTGCATCTACTCTCTTAACTTCACTATTATGGAAGTGAAGTGGTACTTTGCAGGCCAGACTAGAAAGCAATAGGATTATTTTTGATCAAGAATTAGATCTTCTGTTAGCATGGATCTAACAGATCATTGAGCCAGACTTGCTATTTTGGCTAAGGTTCATTTATATATTGATTAAAAAAAAAAAAAAAGTTTGTGGTATATCAGAACAGGGGGTCACGGGTTAAAGGAAGTTGACACCATGGATCAAACAGAATCTTTTCATATTCTTTAGTGACTTGTTTACCACTTTTTATTTAGTACCCCATCACTTTGTAGGCAGCAAATCCAAATCTTAATATAGGATGTCCCAAATAGGAGATAGGTTTTTTTTTTTTTTTTTTTTTTTTTTTTTTGAACTCTGCTAATTAGGCTGGTTACAGACTGTTGGTTTATATTCTTTTATGAATTTGAGTAATATATTGTTAATGAAGATTAGTACCGCTAGGGCTTTCCATCACCAGCCTGCCTTTTATTCTTTCCAAGTATACGAACTAATCATAGAGAAAGAAACTATTTGGTTATTCTGTGCAAATTCAAATATACAACTTTTCAGTTCTTCAATGTGTTTTTCATGCTTTTGTGGGACTGATTCACTTTGGTGGCACATCTGAATTCATAGACTGCTTGGTGTTTTTCAGATGGAGGGAACAACTCTACTGTGACCAGCATACAGGGATACCCTCAATTGTTCCTGTAGCAGAAACAGGTACCACAGTTGGAGGTAAGGAAATTCTGCTTGATGTCACAAAGAATAAATGGTCAACACGTACAAAGATAGAGGTAAAAAGACCAATAAAGTAGCTTAGGAAAGTATCTTTTTCTATCAAATTACAGATTTGGGATTCATTTCCTTCCATAGACAGAAAGCATAGTTTTTTGTTTGTTTGTTTAAAAAAAAAAAAAGAAAATCAATCTCACTTCTCACGTTCATTAAAATATGTATATTCTTGGATCTCAATGAATAAATGCATATATGTTATTTCCCCTGAAAAATACTGGAGTGATATATATTGTAAAGACTGCTTTATGCTGTATCCCAGCCTAGAAACTGGTATCTGCCTTTTATAGACTGCAGATATTTCTCTAAACTGTAGTTCAATTACGCCCTGAGCATCTATATGCTGTTACTATTCCATTTAATGGCTAGCAAACAGCTGCAGTATCAACTGCTTAAACTGCTAAACTGTAGCTATAAAAATATTAAATGCAAATACCCTTGCAGTGTATTTTATATATTATGTTAAAAAATAAACATATTTGACATTGAAACAACTGAAACAAATCAGTTTATTATTTGTACTCAAATAGCGTCTAGAAACCCTTATCACTGACCAGAGCCCTATTTCCCTAGATATGCAAACAATTCAAAAATAGTCTGTCTCAGTAACATTACAGCTTTGAAAAACAAATCTAGTGAGTGTAAAGAAAGATGAGACTACACTGATAAGCATGACTTTACTTGCAAGATAATCTTTTTCTTCGAGGTGTAGGGAAAAGAACTAGTTCTGTCTCCTGAAATGTTACAAACACCATTGAAGAATCACAGTTAGAAACTTTTGAACAAAATGGGCTTATCATCTGGAAAGCCAATACATTAACAGGGTTTAAGAATTATGAAGAAGAATTTTAAATTGTGACAGGCCTGCCTTATATGGCAGGAGAGCAAAGGGAAGACAAGCCTGAGGGTTTAAAGAAGATATAGTCAAACCTGTAATTTAAGAAATTGATGCCTGTAGTTTATGTAGTAATTTTGTAGTTTAAGACTAACTAAAATCATAAGAGACAGGTGTCTGCTACATGAAGCACGAGCACATTGAACAGCGAAGTCCTTAGATTTCAGCCATAGCATTAATTACAAAATACAGAGAATTTGGAAGCGAGGTGGCAGGAAAGAGCTCACATAAACTGTGGTCTTGCAATGAGAACATCCATTCTACAACTGAACTTGAGCATGCAGATAAACATCCTTCAAAGAGAAATAACGTCACCCAAGAGGAAGCAAGCTTTAGAAACCAGAAGATTTGTTTGAAGTGGAAGATATAGCTGTATTTATTATTATTTTAACTACTGAAGCAAGTTTGTATTTGCAGACAGATTTAGGGGTAAAGTACTGCATGGAACAGCATTCTCTGAAAGATACTGCTGCAGAGCCTGTATATAGATAGGAAGACGACTTCTTGTAGAAATGTAAGGAAGACAGATTTTGCATTCAATTATCAGACCTGCTGAAGGAAGAAGACAGGAAAAGGTTTTAGTATCCGTTCTTGAGAATCATTAGATTCCCCTGTGAGTATTTCCAATAAAGCACAGGCTGGAATGGAGAATGTCAAACTGAGAAGTACTCCACAAAAGGCTTTAGAGGATTATATTACTATACTCTGGTTCTAAGGAAGAACAGACATCTCTAACCTCAGGACGGAGAATTGGAGAAGGGAAAGCTGCATCATTTCCCTTGTAACAGATCCACACAGGGCTATATATAGAATAAGAAAGAACTCAAAAGAAGTTGTATGCAGACAAAACATGCACAGATTTCAAGCTAGAATAGTTATAGCAAGAAAAACCAATTTAAAGAGTCAGAGCAAGACATACAAAACAACTGTTTCCTAGGCAAAACTGCGTGGACATCATGACATGAAAAACACTATAAACAGTTCAGGCAGATGATGAAATGAGACACAGCAGATACAGACCAGGGCTCCAAGTCACAGAGGAACTCTGCATATAGTGAAAATAAACTCACCCAAAAACTATTAGGAAAAAAAAAATTGTATTACTTAATACTGAAAAAGAACCCAAAACATTCCAATAAAGTTTCTGCAGTGTGAGAAAGACAGCAACCAGTATATTTTATCCCCCTCTCATAGTGACAGTTCTTTGAAGTCAAGAATTGCTGGTTTTAAAATTGTCCATAATTTATGCATATACCCTTGATAAAAATAGCTTAAAAAAAAAAAAAAACACAACAAAACAAAGCTTTTGCTTGTAATCAGGCTGCTAACTTGAATATCTGTAATAACATATTTTCGTTATATTGAACAATTCAAGAAAAATGGCAGCAGTGATTTCATGTTTTAAATCATGTTAGATTGTCTTTCTTGGGATACGTGGGTTTTATTTCAGCCCTTTTTCATACCAGTGCCAAGTTATACTTCTGGAAAACATCGCTTTCACAATATTTCTCTACTTCTATCTGTAATAGTCCCTTCCCTGCTCTTTGACACCTAATTAATTTGGGTGCTTTCCGTTTGGACTAGGAGAAAGATAAGGTAATAAACAAAGCCAATTAAAATGAATGCATTTATTTGTTCCAGCTCATCCATTAGAAGAAAACACAAATGAATCATTACAAGTCAGTGAAAAAAGCTCTTCGGATGAGATTTTCTTAACAAGGTACGTTATTTCATGAATATGCTTGCTTTCTAAAAGACATAACTGAATTACTATATAAAAAGTTACAATAGACAACAATCATGCTGACTGTGGCCTGCCCACTTTCTTGGGTGTTTGCTTTGGTGTTTTGGAAGGTTTCTTGCCTGACTGTACTAGTTTCCCAGCTTTAGGTGTTGCAAAAGACTTTGCTTCAGGCTTTTTGGGAGTCTTTTTCAGCTCTTTTTCTTTTATTGCTTCCTTTGGCATGCTGGGCTGCTTGGCTTTTTTCTGTTTTGGTGACATCTGCACATCTGCATGTTTTGGTTTTGGAGCCTCAGCATCTAGAGGTTGTTTCTTTCTCTTACCAAGGGTTGCTTTTGTTTTCTTGCCCAGGTTGTCACTTTCCACAGGACTCTGATTTGGTTCCACTTCCTGTAATTAAGACAAAAAAGTATTACTTTTCCAAATAACAAACATCTCCACTGTTTTTTTTCCAAGAGTGATCAATGAAAACCATTCTAAATGACAAACGCTTTCTATCGATTGTACTATTCCCTTAGCCCAAATGATTTTTTTCCGCATTTCAGGCTGGAAACAGAGGAACTAAACACAGAACTAAATCATGAAAAATTAACAAAATAATTACTAAGTAGATTGAACAGATATGAGGATGTTCACCTTCCTGATTAACCAAGTCATTGAACTGTTATGATGGCAGAATTTAAACCACAATCCCCTTCTTCTCCTGCGTTTGGGTTTAATAGATTCCAGAGATCAACTCTATTCAGAGTCCACCTGTACACACACAAACTGCACTTTCACATGAGCACTAAGCCCAGTATTCCTGAGAGATCATCATATATTCCCAAATGGCGCTCTGAAAAGAAGGCTGCTGACACCAGAGTAACTCACACCAACTCCAGCTGTACCTATCCCACGTCTCTGGCAATCACATCGTGTGAGCTGACAGAGGCCTTCTGCATGACAGCAGCTTGAAGCAAGCTGTACGATTTTATTTTTTTTTTTTTACTGGGCTGCACATAATCATAGTGGTAGTCTAGATATTTCTGAACAGATGCAGAGTTAGAATGTAAAGATACGCTCTAATCACAAGTGTAGTATAACTGATTTGAATTTAAAAGCATTACTGTTTTATTCACCCATTTCTGTCCATTAGGTATTTGTTAGACATGCGAATACTGTGAGTTTGGTTGTTTTGCAGACATGTGACAAAATCCATGCTACCTTCAATATCCACAACAGTAAATCTATACAGTATTTCATGCAAGCTGCTAGCTCTTAATGTATATTGTGATTGTTAATGTTGTATATTACTGTCCTAGAGAACACATGCATTTGTTTTTCATGTTCTGCACTTGATAGATAATGCATTAAAATATATAATTTAATAGGAAATTTTGAATTAATTAAGTTACTGATCTTTTAAAACATAAATGTTTCTCAATCATTTTACCCTTTCTTCTGACTTCAGGCCTAGTTATAAGCCAGACAAAATTGCCACTATTTAGGAAAACAATAAAAAGGACAATAAACACTGGCTTCCTTTGTACAAGGAATTAACTAAAAATAAGTAAATAAATCCTCAGAGCATCCCCCCATATACACACAGATCTTGCTTTCATCATATTTTTAAGAAAATTCAATTCACCTGAAGTCTGTTAAAAGATGTTATCCCATAAGGAACAATAAGCGATTTACATAGTTCATAGTATTTAGTTTTAACTGAAATGTAAGTTTCTCGGTATTTTAAAATTACCTTTAGCTCAGCTAGGGTGGTTATTTGCATGGGCACCAGTTGTGGAATTTCTTCTTCATCATTATGTTCATCTGGTTCTTGGACTACTTCTACTTTTTCTTTAATCACAAGTTCCTGGGTTGCAGCAACATCCTTATTTTCCGTTTTCACAGCAACTTGACTTGAATTTACTTTTTTAGCTGTCTTTTTTGTTTTCTTCTTCTTCTTCTTCTTCCCTTTCTACAAAGAATTTGAAGTATACCTCAGACAACATAGCATTTCTAAACACAACAATTGTTTTAATATGGTTAAGAATAAGACAGTCTAGCAACATAAATTGAAATGTTCTTCATTAAACCTGGACTGGTCAACCATAAGTAAAATATGAAAATGTGTTACATTCACCATAGGAGAAGCTCCTCATAAACACCTCATAAATAAATGAAAACAATGTAAAAAATAATCTTTAAGTTGTATATATATGCTCCCCATTTGTTTTAGAAATTGGAAGAAAATAGGCAGAACCAAGTACAAAGGAATAGCTTTTTTTTTTTTTTTTTTTTAGTTTAATGTAGATGAAGCCCTCCCCTCCCATCCTGGCAAAATAATATACAAATATCTGAATAATTCACAAGCTCCTATGCCACTGATTAGCAAATATATAAATGGATGCACAGTCTAAATCCATGTATATGTTAATGAATGTAGTTTCAGGAGGCAAATACAAATACACTATTCAAGCAAGAGTTTCAAGTGTGAATCTCAGTTGAATCTATGTTTCAAGACTAGAAACTCTTAGCTTACTTATTTCTAATTTGCTTTATAACATATAAGGGAGTTTCAGTGATTTCTTGTTACTGTGTATGGGAAGTGCTCCGTCAGGAGTGCCTAATAACTTTGTGGCCATAGCTGCCTGGAATCCACAGCTCAAGCTTGTAAACCCAACACATTAGTTGCTATAACACATAAAAAGATGCCAAAGAGCTAATGGTTCTGATTTGGTTTTACGGCAAGTTTGAAGATTTTTATTTTTTTTTACCTCTCCTTCCTTTCTGTCGACAACTGGCTGTCTGTCAAGCTCATTTAAATTGGAGATACGTGCAGTAAAAATTGGAAGTGCAACTGATTTAAGTGTCTTGAGGTGAAGAACTTTCACATTTTTCCAGTTCTGAAACAACAACAACAACAAAAATACATAATTTAAAAATAACAAGGCTAAAGCCAAGTTAGTTCATAATTTGATGCAATCAATCAGCAGTACCTTTGGTAACTTCTTATCAATCACTTTAGCTGCTGCAATGATGTTATCTACTATCTCATCAGCTTTCATTCCAGTGTGACCAATACGTGCTGTACTGAAAACAGAGAAGAGTAACATTTATATATGAATAAATAAACATACTAAGTTACTTGTTCTTCACTATTCCCTGAAATAAAACAGAAAACCACTTATCTGCAATTATTTTAGCCTTCATGGAATATGGCTGACTATCACTGAAGTCTTTTATAATAACAGTCAGAATAGATTTACCTGTATTAACCATTTTAATATTATGAACTGCAATTTCTGTCTTTTATTCCTAAGATAGATTTAGATCGAGATTAGTTTAGATGCACAATAGATTAAAAAGTCTCAAAATAAGACAGTATCTTAGAAGTGGTTGTTATCTAATTGAACAGTAATATTTTTCTTTGACTGTACATGCTGATTGACAGTGACAGTTACCCAGAAATTCCTTAGCAACAAGGAAAAAAAACTTCAGAGTGAGACTTCTTAGTATGTAGAATTTCTGATCTCTTTATATGGTTTGTTGGTTTATACCTCTTTTCTAAGGTTCAAAATGACCTGTACCTGGAATGGTGACCCTTAACATCTTACTTGCATGTTAATGGAATAAACAATTCAAAATTCCTACAGTTACTTCCTCTGAAGTATTAAACTCCTCATACTTACTAACAGCACCCTTTGTTGGTAACTGGGAGTGTTGTACCCTGGATATGTTTTTGAAACTCCTTAGCAAGATTTTTGGCTTTTAGGTTAACACATAATGGCGCCCTAAAAAAGAAAAGGTAGAGGGAAAAATAATAATTAAAAAAAAATCAAATAAACTACCAAATAACTAAGCAAAACTTTAGTAAGAAGAATTTATTAAAATAGTAACAATGCAAAAACAATACACAGAATTCAAAGACCTACTTTTTCCTTTCATAGAAGTGTTTTCCTATATGTGAGGGCAAAAGCCTTCTAATTCGGTCATCAGACAGGAAGAGATCGAATCTGTTCAGGAGGCGACGCTTTGCTTCAAATGGTTTATACTCTTTTTTGAGAGTTTTGTATGAGATCACCTGCAATGAAAGTAACAGTTTAGTCCTGCCACTGAAAACACAACATAGAATATTTCTTATAACCGTATAAAATTAAGCTGCATAACTGTTAGCTGGTCAATAAGAATTATTTTAGAATGTTGACGACAAATGATAGAAAAAGGATGCAGTAGTTTTTAAGAATTAGATGATATGGATCTCTTGCATAGCAACTGCACATCACCAAACAAAACTAGAGTACATGGTAATACCTAAATCAAGATAAATACAGCAATAGAAAATGTTTTCCAATTTTATTGAGGGAAGCATAAGTGATCCAATCCAGCTGCAAAGGACTTGAACATTCTTTTGTAATGTGAGTAAACAACTAAAAATTTTAAAACCAAATACTGAATATTTATTTAACCATTACATCTGATTGCTAAAGGCATAGTCTTAAATTTAAATTATTTTGAGTAATTTTTTAAGTTTGGGAAACATACAGTTTGAATAGTTAGAAAAAGCCTTACTTGAGGTTGTTAACTGCTGAGATTAAAATATTAAACACTGATTTTTTTTTCCTTTTCCACTGAAGAAGAGAGACACAACAGTACTGTGCTATATTATCATCTCTTTTCCTTACCTGGCTAACATTTGTGATCCCATTCTGTGTTAAAAGTTTCTTGTATAGATTTTCAGTCTGTTCTGCAGACAAATTCGGTTCATCTTTTGTGAACAGGCAAATCTCTGCTGTTTCTGTTCGGATGCTATGTGGCAGAGGTCTACAGCGAGGACATAAGATGGAGAGGAGACACAAGTTTTTCCCAGAAGTAGGAAACTACATTGCCTACAAAGATCATTAGCGCAGGTAGCGCACGTATCCTGGGAGGACATGAACCATCCATGCTCCGCACCATGCCTGCACCCGCTGAAGCTGGGTAGTGCTGGCGCCCAGACAAAGCGCTGTGAGCTTTCTCAGCACGGCAGGGTACAGCTAAAAGCAGTGCCAGGGCCGTGGCAACGCATTCCCCGAGCCCCCAACCAACGCCACGCCGCAGGACGGGAGGCTCCCCGCGGGCCGGTGCCTTACATTTTGATGACCTGCTCCACTCGCGGGATCTTCCACACGGTCACCAGCAGGTGCAGGCAGTCGCTCTCGTTGAGGAGCAGCTCGTCTCCCTTCGCCTTGCTCTTGGAGAAAGCCAGCAGGGCCTCCACCGCCTTCCGCACCTGCAACGGCACCGGCCGCACTTGAAGCAAAGCCAGACCAAGCCAAACCCCGACCGCCCCAGCCGGCTCCCCGCGGTACCTGCCCGCGGTGGAGCTTTGCCGTGTCCCCGGCCATGGCTCCCCCGCCGCCACGTGTGGCCGCCGCCTTCCGGGGCACGGCGGGGCCCGGCCGCCCCTTCCGGCCCTCCCGGCAGCGGGAGCGGGCGCGGCCTGGCGGCGGGAGGCCGGCGGTGCCGAGCCCGGCTGGGCGCCGTGTGCCCAGGAGGCGGCTTTGCCTCAGTGAGAGCGGCCCCGGCCCGCCCGGCTCACGAAGTACGGGCCGGCCGCTCGCGGCTGCCTCCGGTCGGCCCTTCGCGGCCCCCCGGGGGGAGCTCCCGCTCTATCAGCCCCTGGTTCTCCTGCCCATGTCCCCATGGTACGCAGGATTCCTGTCACAGCCCGGTGCGGCGCTGTACGGCTGCCTGCAGGGAGCACGTTTAGCCGGCCCATGCCCAGCCTGCTGTCTGTCCCCCCCTCCCTGTCCTTCCCAGCAGAGCTGCTCTCCAGTCATTGTCCAGCCTGTAGTTGGCACTACTCCTTCCCCACTCAAACCCAGTGGTACCCTGCTTGTTAGCGACCTTCAGGTAGAGTACAAGCCATTACCTCTGTCCTCAGAACCCCATTTTCTAGGTAGTCACTAGCCAGTTGGTTGCCACCCACCCGGACCATAATATTTAAGATACCAGAATACTGAGGGAGACTTGAAAAATATGCTAAAGGTGAGGTAAGTGACATCCGCTCTGTTCTCCTTATCCATAAATTCAGCAATTTTGTCATGGAAAGTAATCACATGGGGCAGGCATGATTTGCACAGTCAGTCCATGCTGATTGTTCACAAGCAGCTCCTTCATCTGTTTTAAGAGGACTTGTCCCATGATTTTTCCAGGGCCCAAGTGAGGACGACAGGTCTGTGGCTCCTGGATTGCCCTCTTGGTGCTTTTTGAGAGTAGGTGGACCTCTTGCTCCTCTCAAGTCATTGGGACCCTTGCCCAGTTTCCTTTCAAAGCATTGGAAGCTATTCTTGTTGCCCCTGATATTCATGGACAGTTTTAGCTCTAGGTGAGCTTTGATTGTCCTGTGACAATACCTACATGGCTTAGCAATGTTTCTAGATTCCTTCTTTGCAGACTGTCCTTGATTTTACCTCCTGCATTACTGTCTTTTTGCACTGGAGTGCTGCCATAAACTCCCTGTTTAGCCAAGACAAACTCCTCATGGATCTACTTGTTTTCCTGAGTATCAGGAGGTACCTTTGTTAAGATTTGAAAAGATTGTCCTTAAAGACCAGCTGCCAGCTTTTCTGAGCTCCTTTGCCCTTCAGAGCTGCCTCCCATGGAGTGCCGCCTCCTGTTTCCCTGAATAAACCGTCGTCCCTTTCCTGAAGTCTGCTACTCATCTTCCTTGCAGCCATCAGCATCTTGAGTTTACTCATCAGCATCTTGAATCTACTCATCTTCCTTGCAGCCATCAGCATTTCCTGGTCACTACAGTTGAGGTCACCATTGATTGTCACATGTCAAACCCTTTCTTCCTTATTTGTGAACACTAAGGCATCTACTGCATCTGTGTTCCAGTTTAGAAATGCATTGACTGATTCCATGGAACTAGCTTAGCAGTGGGACACATGCCGTCTGATTCTACGTGGCCTAAGTGCATGGTATTAACATCAGATCCACCCTGGAGCTATTTTCACCTTGTTACTGTGCTGTGCATCCCCTGGCAGCTTTGGTGCTCTGCATTTTGGGCCCCTCGCTACAAGAAGGACATCGAGGTGCTTGAGCGGGTCCAAAGAAGGGCGACGAAGATGGTGAGGGGCCTGGAGAGCAAGTCCTATGAGGAGCGGCTGAAGGAGCTGGGCTTGTTCAGCCTGGAGAAGAGGAGGCTCAGGGGCGACCTTATCGCTCTCTACAGATACCTTAAAGGAGGCTGTAGTGAGGTGGGGGTTGGCCTGTTCTCCCACGTGCCTGGTGACAGGACGAGGGGGAATGGGCTAAAGTTGCGCCAGGGGAGTTTTAGGTTAGATGTTAGGAAGAACTTCTTTACTGAAAGGGTTGTTAGGCACTGGAACAGGCTGCCCAGGGAGGTGGTGGAGTCACCATCCCTGGAAGTCTTCAAAAGACGTTTAGATGTAGAGCTTAGGGATATGGTTTAGTGGGGACTGTTAGTGTGAGGTTAGAGGTTGGACTCGATGATCTTGAGGTCTCTTCCAACCTAGAAATTCTGTGATTCTGTGATTCTGTGATTCATCATGCAAGTGATCTGCCACCTGGGTAACCTAGCTTTGCATAACCAGGAGTTAAACATAAAATACGGAATCTTGGTCTTGGTCACTCACTCGTCACTTCCAGATTTTTGCTCGTTTTTGCTTTTCTAGTTATGGCTTTATTCCTTCGTGTGTCTTCCAACAAAATTTGTTATTCAGTCAGTGTGCCAATGCAAAGAGAAAGGGATTAAAATACCCTAATCAAGACAAGTTCCTTTATGTAATGATTTGTTTCCACTCTGCTGGCAGAACTCACAGAGTAACAGCAAAGAGTCAATGGCTTTAAGACTTGTCCAAGGAAGACTTAAGGCAGTAGCTGCAACACTGTGTAGTTGTGCTTTCACGATTTGTAACGAGACAGGCATATCGAGTTCAGGAGGTTGTTTGCATACTAATTGACTTGATGTAATTTACTGTAGATAGGTTATTTACTGATTGATATTGGTGGGAAAAAAATGTCCTGGAAAATGGAAATTTTAACCTTCTATTGTGTGATTTTGGACAAACAAGATAAATGAAACTAGCCAGGAAAAATAAAAGCTATCCTTTGTTGCCATGTAGTCGTAGCATGAAGTATTGATTAGAGAAATTATTGAAAGGCTAGGACCACCCAGAGTAGCTAAATCAGGCAGACTCATTAGTATCTTTTCAACACTAGTAGGACTTACACATATGATGCTAGCTGTGGCATTTTATAGTCTGATAATTGTATTAGCCTTGCTCCTATGCCTGCATAGGCCTTGCATATTTTACAGCAGATGCCTTAATAAAACATCAACAGATTATTGTGAGATGTTAAAATAAAACAGATAAAGTAAGATGACGGGGAAGGCTCTTTGACAGTATGCTAGGCTAGTGTTGTAAGAGGTGATTGAACAGTATGTTTGAAGCCTGACTATACTGGGTCAGCATAGCATTAGTAAGATAAATTTAAGGGACTATTATTAGTCACTATTACTTTGAATCACTATGATTAATGACTCAAATTCAAATTTCTCACATATCAATCTCATCCAAGCACATTTTCCTGCCACTTTTCAAGTTTGATGTGACTAAATTTCAGTAGATGCGGTTTAACTGACTTAGATAATTTTCTCTTGAAAGGTGTTTGACATAGTTAATAGAGATGTCATGGGAAAATAAGTTAATCTCTGGATAAGAAATATTTCAGTATAGTACGTGAGTTATATGCAATGGGAACAAACTATAAAGAGTAATGTTAACTTTTAATTTTTCAAGTTCACAAATTAATACTCTAATGAAAATTATTTATTTTTGTAAATGTTACCCCATACTAAAAACAGATTGTAAAATAAACATACTCTGACGTAGCTTTGAATTTAGCTTTCTCTGCTGATGAAAGTATTTTTTCCTTAAGTCCAGTCACAACTAAGATTTGAAATGACATACTTGCCAGCCTTTCTACCTTATTACTTACTTAAGATGATGTTTCTATTTAACTCTAATTTTGTACTTTGTCCTGGCAAAGGGGATGTACAAGCAGCAATTGTTTCTGCTGTAAACAGATCTTTGAGGTTTAAAATTAGTTTCTTATTGTGCATTCCAGAAGTTCCAGTACCAAGTTTGTGTTCCTCTAGATTATTTGATGGCAGATAAAACCCCAGATCTTGCTTTATAAAGTATATTTCTTTGTGCAACAGAAGTGGCACACAGATCATGGAAAAAGGAAATCAGGAGTAAGAAGTACACTTTATCATAGAGACCTAAGAAAAGAATCTGCATCACTTCTGTTCAAGCACTCGTTTTCTTTGATTGTGCTCCTTTGCGATCCTAGTGTAAGCCTCTAGCTATACTAGCTAACTGTCAGCTGGATGGATACTTACATCCCAAGTTATTCAGTTATTAAAAAACTACTGTTTAAGAACCAGAGGCACCTGTCTTTGTGACACAAGCTGTAAACTTTCTACATTATAATCCTTTGCCTATCACCAGTTCTACAGGTTTAACAGATGACAGAACACAGTCCCAAATACAATTTTCATCTAATGGCTAATCTGTCATCTCTCAATTTATTTGGAAGTATGTGGGCTTTTTTAGGTGTATCTGTAATTAACTGAGGGTAGATTCCTTACATTCAAACTTACATTGGAAGTTGAGACTTTTTGGGAGGGAGAGCTGATGAAAGCGTATTATTAAAACTTATATATACACACAACAGATTTTACGTTTGTTAGCATAGATTTCCATTTTATATTTAGACTAGACTCCTTTCTAGCATTTCTTCAGAGGGAAATAAATATTTTGTTATGTTTATACTGCATTAAAATAAACACAAGGAAAGAAACAGGTTCACAATATGAAATCTTCAGTAGTAACTCCAGTTTTGTTGGTGTATTTTTCTTTACCAAATCCTCTGTAGTGTATACAAAAACAGCAGAATAAGGAATAGCCTTGTATCAGTTCAGGAGAAAACAGTCTTATCTGGAGTACATTTCATCTGCTTTAACATCATCATTTAAACACTCTGCATTAAGAACCAAAAAGCCAGAGTAATACAGAATTAAATACTTGGGACAATTGAAACAATCTTTTTTTCTTTTTCTTTCTTAAGTAATACTCATTAATAAACACTTATAAAAACACATTTCTCATAATTAACAGTTTTTATGGACTGGTGCCATAAATAGTCTAAAACAGAGGTTCTTCACTGAGCAATCTTTGCTGGGCCTTTATGTCAGAGAAAAAAAAAAACAAAACATAAAATTCATGACCAGCAAATATCCCCATGGATAAACCTCCTTAGAGCAGCCATTTGTCTTACAACACAATTACAACATCATCAATAGCTCGTTGTTCAATAATACAGTTTACTATCAGAATGAGTGTCTCAGGAAACCAGTGCCATCATACATTTGTATATCAGTTCCCGATTGTCTGCAAAGATAACCAAGGTAGCAGAATTGGGTTTAGATGGATGATGACAGTGTTAAGTCAACTGAATGCTGTACTCATTTCTCCATTTAGTGTGCTTTACTTCTTGGTAAGTTGCAGAAATAAGTAATTATTTTCTTGTTGCAGAATAATTAGTACTGCTGCACACTTTTTTTTTTTTTTTACATTTAATTATTGTTACATATACCAAGGCTTTCATTTAAATGACATACAAGGTCTTAATTTACATAATTATAATTTATAACTTACATCATGGCTATACACTTAAGCCATATCTACGCTACAAACTTTGGCCAACAATCAGGGAAAAGAGGTGTGATCCTGATTAGTACCACATCGCATACAAAGGCTGCTGTAAATGCAATTATACGGGGGAGAAACATCCCCAAATTGCTCCTTTCTGCAGAAACTCACTCACAGTTTTGCTGGTATAAGCTATATCCAGTCCAGGACCCAGGAATACTCTGCCAGTATCATGTGCTAGCACAGCTATACCAGCCATGCTCCTATGGTTTCTATAGCCTCAATCCAACTTTTATTACTTATTTTTGTTTACTTATTTTTACTATTGTGGTTGCACAGCTTCTTAATTTTCATTAATTCTTTAAAGCAGCATACCACATTTTGACAAAAATAAGTATTCAAAATGGTCCTTTAAAAAAGTTGATTACCCTCAGTGAATCAGCAAGTAGTATTTATTTCAAGCAAAGCCACACTTTTTTTCCCTTTCATCTAGATCTAGCTGTACTCAATAATAGTAAAAATGGGACTATAAAATGTAGAATGGAGATGTAATGAAAAAGTTGAGATGTAATCTGAGGTTTATTCAAATATAATGGACTCTTAGCTCTTCTATCTAAAATGTAGCCAAACTGTGTAGACCTATGCTTTACATTTTCATATCAAGTATGTTTAAATTTTAGAGAATGCAAATATCTTATATCCCCCCCCCCAAAAAAAAACCCTCTTGTAGCTTAGCAATATCTAATTGTATTGTAGTCCGTTAATGAACTTGAAATAATTTAAGTTCTCTTTACAAACAAGGTGATGTTAATTAGATTTACGGAAGTGGCAATCAAATGCACTAACTGGGGTGAATTATGGAAATGCCAAAACTTTCTATCTACTAGTATTTCAACCCATCAGATGATTTTTCAGTTTAATAATGAATACTCAGTACAGCCCCAATATAACGAAGCTTTAGAATTCCTCATTAGGTTTATACTAAAGTGAAAAATTCCACTGGAGCATCATGTAGCCTTGAGATGCATATCAATAAATGAACAAAATTTAAAAGTTTAACAATTTAGGAATCAAAGTATTAGCCAAACAGTCAGCATATTTCAAATTCATAAGCTTACTTCAAGAAAGGGTTATGATATGAGATACATGGAAATCCTAAATCAATTCAGAATGAGAACAAGACAGTAACTTTCCTTGGCTTTTAATTTCTTCATTAATTTAAGAGCCAAGGAAATTCGGGGTTTGTTCACTTGGTAGGGAAAAAAAAAAGGTACTTTAAAACTCTGATTTACCAAAAAATAAAAGCCCAGAGATTTGCAGACATAATAAAATTTATTTCAATTCCATGCATTACGGTAGCTACAAGTGTAGTCATATGAAACTGAAGGACAATAACTTCTTCTGTCCATACAATGTAGCTGTAAGTGAAATGAATGGGAGTTCCACAGTTACAAAGAAACAAACAAAACCAAAAAAAAAAAATCAACAAAAAAAATCTGTTTCAGTTTTGAGTTCTGTGAATTCAGATACAGTCACTAGACTGTAAATTTTTGGGGGAGGAGATGGGCTCACCACAATTGTACAACTGAAAATGTTTAGTTTAAGACATTCTGAAGAAGCTCTGAGATACCTTTTAATACTTGCTACTAATATTCTGGAAAATGAAAAAAACAGTTAGCCTTCATCCTAATTGTTAGAATCAGGATAGCAATTGTAGACAGTCCACTTTCAAAGTGCAGCTAAATAAGGTTTTATTATGCAGCTCCTTCAAGTTGTACTGAGAGTAAGCTTTATGTTGAACCAGTTTTTGAAGAACTTCACTGGTCCCTATAAGCTTACATTGCTTTTTGATATGCAAAAATTTACAGACTGTGCTTGATTCTGACCCTCCCATATTTCAGTATGTGCAAACTCGTAGGGATTTAAATAGTCTTTCTCCCTCTCAGTCCAGACTGATATTTAAAACAGCCAGGATTATCCAGCCCTGTAAATTAAAGACAGGGTGAACTGAGTAACTTATATAAACTGGCACTTTTTCATTGGCCCAGTTCTCCCACAAAATGTAGCTCTTATAAATACTAATAGGCACTATTGCCACAGATTCTTATTTTCGCAATTTCACTGATTTACTGGTTGTTAGCATTTTCTGCAGTTAAGAATTTAACAACGCTGAATTTTTATAAAGACACAATATGTAGTTTTAGCCTTCAAAATTGACTTACTGTGTCTAGTAATGATGTTAAGTCAACCTAAGTTTGCTGAAGATATTAACAAATGTAAAGCTAATGAAGGTGCCACATTTGCATGAATGTTTTTCATTTTAAGAATGCCTTCAACAAAGGGAAGGGGGCAAAACTAATTCTTTTAATACAAACTTGGCTGAGTGCCTAATTGCCTCGTTTAAAACTGTGTGTGTGGGGAGGCTGAGGAGTTTAGAAAAATCCAGGTAACCAAATATTGAGGTTACTGGAAAGTTAAAAAGCTAATGCAACTGTGTTACATCTGGATAAAAAACATTATTCAAAAGCAATTCAAATACCGAAAAAGATTTCAAATTGAATAGTTTATTAACATGGTAGTCATCTTTGTAACATGTGCACACACACTCGCACACTCTGAATGATCTGCCTGGAAAAAAAAAAAGGTCTTCATATATATGTTGGGGGAAATTAAACATTAAAAATCCGTTAGATTTTCATAATTATAGGCAATTATGTCCACATCACTTACAAAGCTATTGCCGAATCTTTCCAAGGAAGCAGAATTTGGGAGAAAAAAAATTTGGGGGGGAAATTCAACAGTGGCATAGCAGAGCTCTCAATATGAGAAAGCTGACATAATGTGGACCTTTGCTGTGAAATTTGTCTTTGCAAAATATGGGGAGAAGTTTATCAATGGGCAGAAAATAAGAAGGCGGTGTGAAGTAGGCTTTTGCAGAGTCGATTTTCCTCACAGTATTGTGCGGGGGTCATTGAGAAAAATGCTTAGTCCTTCTCTGGAACCAGTTTCAGAACTTTTCCAATTGCAATGGTCTTACCTAAACCAAGGAGACAAACACTACAGTTACATATATTGCAAAAAAGCATAAATCTCTAAGAACATGAAAGCTTTCCCCACACATACAGGCTCTCCAGAATACTAGAAATAACACAGAATAAATTACTGTATTGTAAGATGAAAGCACAGCAAAAACTTAGAGAAACTGTGATTTTCACAGGAAAGAATACAGTATGAGTTGTGGGAAGTGTACTCTATGTTCATTTAAGGAGTGCAAAGCAGAATCATTCTGCCAGACTTGTTTAATGCTTTTAAAAGTAACAAACTCCCTTATCTTTTCTGCATTTAAGGTTCCAGGGTGTGTTAGGAAAACAGTGCTGCTAATTTTTCAGGTTCAACCATTTGTTTTACAATGCACATTATTTCTCTAAAATAAAACACATTTCTTGTTACCAGCAGGAACTCTGCACAACAATTTACTTAGATTTGCTTTCCATTGTTATGCAGATACACTAAGTTCAACTAGATGCCAGCATTTTAATACTTCATTGCCATGCATGATCTGTTTGAAATAACTGTATTTTCGTAGCAGTTAATTGTTGATCAAGCACTCTTACCCTCATCTCTTAAGGTAAAGCGACCCATCTGAGGGAAATCTTTGAATGTCTCAAGGCAGATAGTTCCTGCTGTCCTTAAACGGGCAATGCATACTTGATCTTGTTTCACAAAGCGTGGCCGTGTCTTACTTTTTTCTCCTGTTTTTTTGTCCACCAAGCAGATTAAGGCCTGTAAAAGAAGGGAAAAAAAGATGGAAATGTTGTCTTAGAGAGGAACTTCTGAGACTTACTGCATAAAGATAATCCATCATTACCTACTGCACTTTTCAGAAGGCTTACGCTAACAGTTGCAGACATTTTTGGTTGTGTTACAGTACTGCCCAAAGATTCCAATCGAGGCTGGAGCTTTGTTATGTTAGTCACTCCAAAGAACTCTTCACCCCAAGTGCACTGTCTGTATTCACATCACAACAGAGCTTACTGATATTTTAAGGACACTTACTGTTATCTCAACTTCTTCAATACAGGTGTGGATGTGCAGCACAGCATTATAACCTGGACAGATAATGGATTTGTGCTCAATTATCACTATCTGTAAAAAAATTAAAAATAAGTTCATTTTTCCTCATTTTAGTATAAAAGAGCATAAAATAACTGAATACAGAACTATATTAAAATGCATATTTCAACAATACACAAACAACATATTTGTTAAAGAGATGACCAAATTATTTCTAATATGAAAGAATAAAACTGAAACATTGGCATACCAAGGTCTTTCTTTTAAGATTAGAGGTGACCAAAACTTAACTGAGAAGTTCCGTTCAAAATGGATGACATTTTCAAAAGTCAGACTGATGATGTTGGAATAGGAATGTAATTGTCAATTTAGAGATTCGACAGCAAATGAGAAATCTCAACTGAAACCTAGAACTACTGAAAATTGGATTTGGTGAAACACAGGCAAAATATTTCAATGCAGTTTCCCCACTTACACGGCAACCAAGTGTTAATTATTCTACCTGGGCGTCAAACGTGCGTCCAGAATGACACAGGTTGTTGGAATCACAGAGAATAAATCCTGGAAGGATCTCTTCCTCTTCAATTCCCTTCAGTCTGATCTTTAGATTTTCACCTGGGGCTACTGAATCAGTTTCTACATCATCAGAAAGGATCCCAAGAACTTCCACATTGTGCTGAAAGCAAAAATGCAGTTTTCAATTATTGAATATTTCAGCTGGGTAAAAAAAAAAAAAATCACTGATATGACAGGATTTTAAAGAAACCCAAAGTCTAAATCCATTATATTTAGTTCTCCAAGCTTCAGAAAATGTAAAATATTTGAATGACTAACGTTTTAAACAGCATATTTATTCAAATAGACTTCAATTCATATAATTCAATATGTTCAATGGAAAGCAAATTTCAAAGACATCTGCTATGTCTCAAAGTGAAGTTAGTTTAAAACTTACGAAGTGATGAGAGAGACAGACATATTATTGACTAATTCTATAACAGTTTGGTTAAAGGCATTTAGTTTCTCAATTTCTCCCAAATAATATGTCAAGCAGTGTTATTAAGAGCTATTGTCTGTTACAGTTTACTGTTTGTATCCTTTTAACTTTTTTTCTTATTTCCATCTGGCAAAAATTTAAAAAAAAAAAAGAACAAAAAAGAAAGTTTTGAACATTAGTAACCCACAGCAAAAGAAGTCTGCATTTGTACAGAAGGCATACAAAGTAATACACAGTTCAAACAAACTATGATGTGTAGCCCAGCAATTCAGTCTACTGAAGATACATAACTTGAGTTCCAAATTCTAAGGAAGTCAATGAGACACAAACACATACTTGGGTACATTGCTCATATGAGATGAGTGCTTACTTCTGCTCAATTGAACAATAGGAAGTTTTCTGATTTAAAGTAATTAATATATTTAAAAACCAAGCTGTTTTCAGAGCAGAATTTTTCTAGATGTCTAATCCATACCTTGTTTGGCATCATCACAAGCTGTTGTCCTTTGCAAATAGAACCTGATTCCAGCTTTCCAAGGACCACAGTGCCCATATCCTTCAGTGAAAAGAAATTACATAAAAATTACAAACTTTTTTCTAAAGAGTCTGTCTCTTTAAAATATCGTACTTAATTCTAAGTATGATTACCTAACCCTATGAAGTTATATACCACTGCAATATTTAATATTTTGGAAGCTATTTTCATGAAAGATTACCAGTTTTGAGTCTCATATAACATCAAATAAATTACATCGCTTCCCCGCCACTATTCCACTGTTGGAAATGTAGACATATCAAAGAGAACGGATACACTCTAACAATATGGTAAATAGTGCATTTACTGCTTCCTGAAAATAGTACATTTATATTTTCAATACTATTATTTTAAATTGTACCTTATATTTATCCACAATTGGCAGCCTGATTGGTCCATCAGCTGAACGGTTGAAGTTTGGCAAATTATCCAGGTAGGGAATAAATGGTAGTCCACTAAAAGCAGAAGGCATTTGTTTCAGTTACATGAGCACCCATCTATTTAAAAATTGCTCAGAATGGATAAATGCAGTTTCACAAAGATTTTCATTCTGTCATCATTAAGTACCAAGACCTCTTAGACATCTCTATCTATCATAAAAGTCCACCATTAACATCCACATTACCCTAAATAACATATTAACACCTAGGAAGCACATATAGATTTAAAGTTACAGGCATATTTCACATACATTCATTATCCCCTTGAGAATCTTGCTGGATTTACTTAATTTGTTTTGGATATGCAAAACCATTAGCTAGTTCCAAATAAGATTTTTTTGTTATTATGTTTTAGCTGTCATGAACAATATTGGAAAATATGAAACCCAGTGGGAGACATGACTTGCCACTAACAATAATCCATTTTCAATCAAACTGTTCATATCAAACAATTACTCATCCTAGCAACTGGTCCAATGCAGCATCACTGGAAAATTCACATGATGGTATTGCATTCAATTTCACAAAGCCAAAAATTAATAAATACTGCTAATATTTTAAAGAGTCTGCTAACTTTAATCTTCTGCAGTTCGCAAATGGTTTTATTTGGTTGATTACATAGCTGTGTGTCCTTGTTGCTGTGATCCCATTTCCTTAAGCACTTCAGTCAGGAATTCCTGAATGCAGCTACAATACGCCATTCTATACTTCTTCCTAACTTCACTGTAGCATTTTGCTTTTATTGAAACATAACTAATATAAAAGTAATTGAATTTACAATACATACATATACCAAGGGCAGAATTCTGACTGTTCTTTAAGGTTTGCTCCAGTCAGTCCTGAGCAGGGCATGAAATGAATATCTTTTTTGGGATTGAAGCCAACTTTCTTCAAAAACGGCACCAGTTTCTCTTTACATTCCTCATATCTATTAAAACAACAAGCACATTAAGATAAACTGAAATTATCCAACATGACATAATATTATGCTTAAAAACAACAACAAAATCAGACTTGTTTAATTTTCGTGAGTTAAGTTATTCTGTAAGTAACAAAACTAATAGAATTTGGTGGCCTATTTTCATCTTCTCCCCAGTCTTCCAGCACAACTTGGTATTGCTTACTTCCCTCATTCCTCTGCTCCATAAAGTACCACCAGTTCTCTCCCAAATACCCCAATTACTAGGCTGGGTAAGCAACAACACATGCTGCATCTGCTTTTAAGCTAGAGATACAGGCCAAGGTAGCAAGACAGACCAAGCAGACAGCTACTAAGGTCATTCTGTGGGCTTTCACCCTAGCAATAGTTTTCTCTCTTCCAATCTTGTGTATCGTTTTGTAAAACTTACTGCTATTTATATCTATTACAGTTCTTCCCCTAAGTTTCTGATGAATTTAATAATGTTAAAAATTGAGGAAGGTTGGGGCAGGACCAAGACAGCACAATTGGCCACGCCTTATCCTCTTAGCAAACCTGGCTGATGCTGTAAGTTTGCATAATCCCTCATAGCTTTCCCCAAGAACTTTAATGATTCTTCACAGCACAGCAAGTTCTCTGACAACTCTTCTTATCATACTGTAGAAGGAAAAACTGTATCCTATCACTACACAAGTATCTCTAGGAAAGGACTAAATTATGCTTTTTAGCATCCAGCTTGAAGGGACAAGAAGATGTGACAGAAGCCTTAAAAAGACCTAAGTTCTGAAACTTAAGAAAATTCACAGAATCACAGAATTTCTAGGTTGGAAGAGACCTCAAGATCATCGAGTCCAACCTCTGATCTAGCACTAACTGTCCCCACTAAACCATATCGCTAAGCTCTTTTGTAACATTTGAGCATTAAAGCAGAAAAGAAGAACTCAATCCTTACTATTACAGTTATTTAAGGATTACATATTGTCTTTCTAGTTATTTTTACCTGGCTTATAACACTGCAAGATTCCCTTCCTCCCTCCTTCTCAGACTGCAGTCGTGAAACAATATATTATTTGCTTATTCAGTTCAGCTTATCGTAAAAGAAGAACTCCACCTCGTGCGCATCTACCCTGTGTTATTTGAACAGGATAATGCTGTTCTCACCAAACCTAAGATACAAGCTTTGCAGAAACGTGGCCAAGCAATCAAGAATCTGGCAAACTGAACTACTGAAAGCAGAGTCACTTCCTTTCAGATTCAGTATAAAGCTTCTAAGTTTCCAGAAAAGTGGGATACAAAATTACTTTGGTTAGGAATCATTTCAGTATCGTTTACTTTTTTTTTTTTTTAATCAAACTCACCTTTCATTACTCCAGTTTACAGTTGGATCATCCATTTTATTAATAAGAACTATTAAATGTTTTACACCTGCTGTTTTTGCTAGCATGGCATGTTCTCTTGTTTGTCCACCTTTCTCAAATCCAGTTTCAAACTCTCCTTTTCTTGCAGAAATAACCTAATTAAAAACATACATTTTATTAAAAGTTCCACAATTTTCTCAGCAGAAGAACAGACAATGGGTAATATCACCTTAATCAAAAATAACTTTTGGTAGTCAAAGTTGGTAAAAGCTTTTAAAATACACTGGTACAACCTTAGTATTATCCATTAGCTTCTGCTAATGTAAAAAACACATGAAAACCGTGGACAATTTTATGAATCTGTTAAGTTATCCGAAAAAAGACTCACAATTTTTAATTTTTGGCCACTGTGAACAACGAAATGAGTAAACCAACAAAAATGAAAAGCCTAATTCCACAATAAATAAATAAATATCTGATTTGTCCTTACCAGCACTGCAAGATCAGCTTGAGAAGCCCCACCAATCATATTTGGAACAAAGCTCTTATGCCCAGGAGCATCTAGAATAGTGAAGTGTTTCTTCTCAGTTTCAAAATAGGCACGACCCACTTCTACTGTTTTACCTTTGTCTCGTTCTTCTTGGTTTGTGTCTAAAGCCCACGAAAGGTACCTACAAAAAAAAATGACGAAATATTGTTTTATATTAATTTTTACTAAAATTAAGTATGAAAATCTGGTTATCGTAACATCTTTTTTCCACTCAACACTTTTAACCACATTAGCACTGCCAAACTAAAGCTTGTCCAACACCAATAGTCACTGTTATTGAATATCTAGTAAGCCATATTGCCTAGTGCTAGCTGTCCTTCACATAGACTTGTGCAATTCTGAACAACAGTTTTCAATTCCTAACTTCTCCAGGTATGATCTCACCTCAAATACTAAAGTATTAAGCTTTGCCTCAGTTTGAAAGGCAGTTCTGGATCAAATAAAAAAAATTCCTTTTTCTCAACATAATTAACTCAAAAATTAGCTCTGATTTGCATATTCTTATTGCCTCAAACATAAACAGAAGTTGATGACGAAATAGATAGCATTCATCCTATATTCATACCCATCCTATATCCTTTATTCATCCTATCTTTGATCATATCAATGCTTGTTCCTTCCTAATTATATTTTATCCCACTGACAGACAACCAAGTTAGACTTAAAGTTGGACAGATGAAATGAAACTAAAAGGTTCCAAAAGCGAAATCAGCTTTCCAGAAACTGAGGGCAAAAGAAGCAGGATGCTATATGGGCTGTATACAAACACACACACATAAATAAAAGAAAAACACAAACAAGGCCCCCAAATCTATACATGGGAGTAGCTTCTTCTTACCCAGAGCAAACTTAACAACTCTGGACCTTGTATCTTCGTTTTTATATGAATAAATACTACTGCCAAAACCGTTCACTTGCTCTCATCTTGCATCTGCCCTACTGACTGATTTGATCTCTGTCTTCAGATACCTCTCTGCTGCTTACAGGTAAAAGACAGATACAATAATCCCAAAGGCTGCCTGAGAAAAGCATCTGCCTTGTACTCCTTCTACCAGATAACTAGGCACTTTCTAAAAATAAAAAAAATAAAACAACAGCAAAACCTGTTGCAATGTGAATTATGAATCACACTGTTTCATATAGACCTGGTTAAAGAAGTAGTGGAGGAAAACAAGTGACTCCTCCCCCCACAAACCAAATTGATTCCAGCAATAATAAAGTTCCACAGGGACAGAGATTAAAAAACAGTTTGTTTTCATCACAGCACAAAGTAAAAAGCAGACTATTATCTTAGTATAAGTTTCATACCATGTTTCTCTGTTTTTTTCTTTAGCTTCTCTTTCATATTTTTCAAGTGTTCTTTTATCAACCATTCCTGTCAAATACCTAAGAAAAAAAAGCAATTTTACATAAACAAAAATGTAATTAAGTAGTTACGCAATTCATACAGATTATTTTGGAAAAAAAAAAAATCGAACAGTCTGATGTGAACAGCAGTGGAATTTCTTCTCTGTAGAAATCTGCACAATTATCAGTAAAAAGCATGACACTATGTCTTTAGCTGAGATCTTTTTTTTAGCCTCTGTAAAACATTCTGCAGTGGCAAGTTTTGAAAAGGAAATATGTCTGCTATGTACATGTCGGAGAAATCCAATCTTTCAAAATTCGAGTAAAAATTGAGATAAGAATTTTTAAAATAAATGTAAATGAAGTATTTCTAAAATGTAAAGGAAAATATTTTTGTTTTCACTCCTTACATAGAAGAAGTAACCTGATATTTTAAGAGAGATCTTTCAATTATCAAAAGAGGTACGTGGGGAGTATACAGTTTTATAACATTACAACTTTCAGATTTTTCACTCAGGTATTTTTACCTAATCTTCTAATAACAGTAATCTGCATAGTTTACAAGGAAAATTTACAACAGTAAATAAAGGTTTACTGATAATTTGGTTACCCTCTTCCCCCCCTCCTTACAACAAAGGGATCTTCTGCAAAAATGAAAAACAGAAAGATTCCTACAGAGAACTTTAGGAACCTAACACACTGGTAGGAGTGTTAAGAACTGACATCTTGTACACAGAGAACAGACATCAGATAACAAAACGCTAATTTGCTGTAGTATGAGCAACAAGGTTAAATGTAGCATGACAGTTCCGACATTCCAGTTTGGTCAAAAACAAAACAGAATGAAAATGCCAAGACAAAGACCTCCCACTTTTCCTGAGAATATTATTTTAAATCATAGCAACAGTTTGCATTAGCAGGATAGCATTTATTTCTTCACGTACTACATACCATTTCTTGTTTTTGACAAACTATAAGATTGAACTGCATTTATTTGCTTTTGTCTCATAAGAGTATTGCAACCTCTAGATGCTGTTTGTAAAACAGACTTAAAAGGTTAACTTTTTATTTTCATATTTTAAAATCCAATCAAGCTTGATGATGTTAACACTAGGGAATAAGCATTTTCTTTGTAAATTCTCACAAAAAGGACAAAGTTTAAGAAATGACACAAACCAATTTCAACTGCATTTAAAAGTGCAAAGAAAAACAGAGTTACGCTCTAAAAAAGCAATTTTTAAAATTTAATAATGCATGCTTTTGCAGTTGTTTCCATTAAGTGAAACTTCTAATCTTAAATCTGCCGGAATTTAAAAAAATCCAAAGAGAATAAGCAACTACACTAAACAGACAATGATATTTTATCATAAAAACATTGATCTATGATGATCAAATACAGAAAGAAAATATTTTATGTAATATATATTAACCCACAAAACAGATCAATCTCTTAAATATTTTTAGTTTCCTTACATTATTTGTCCTCCAATGGTTGACTTGCCAGCATCTAAAAAAAACAAGGAAATAGTTAAATCATTCACAATTTAAAATAAAATCCTAAGAAAAAGGAAAGTAATTAAGATCAATGTCATCTTATTTGTTTCCAAAGATGCCTTTCCTAATTCTACTTTTTTGAAGTATCTCTCAGCTTCCCTTGTTTCCACAAGAGTTCACTGTCAATTCAATTACTGAATTTTTAAAATCATGTTTTTGATACATATCAACTTGGCATAATCCGTAATCAAAGAACACCCAACAAGCTGTGATCCAGCAAAAGCTTGGGTTAAACATGTGCAAAAGCCCTTTCCCCGCTTCCTTTCTCCCTTGTTACCAACTCCTATAGGCTACTCTTCAATATTGGGATGTATCTCTGCCCACTGCCTCTTTATTTTGTGTGACTCAGTTCTGAGCTTACCCAGCTAAGTTACAATGCTTTTAAAGTAATAAGTCTATACATGTGAAAAATCTAGAGCTCATGATTCAGTCACTCCTAAATACTTTTGACATCACTTAAGATTCTCCTGAAATTTGTTGAAACTACTCGGCTGGGATGCTGTGCTACAAATTCTTAGGTATTAGCCCTTTATTAAGTTGTTCTGTTGTTTAGAGATCTATAATTTTTAATCTTCTGAACATTATTATTTGATTTAGTAATTACTAAATCTAAGAGCTTTCTGAAATTATTTAAAGCAGAAAAGAAGCATTGTTTTCTGATTCTGTCCTTTGGAACACTAACACAGATACATAACTTTGGCATTTAAAACAGCAGGTACTTGAGAAATCATGAACACAGACGCTGTTGTGTCCATGAAAACCCAAACAGTACCTTGTCACTCTATCCCTGAAAGATCTGCTTTAAATTATTTATTTTTTCCAAAGTAGCTTCATTAAGATGAATGCTCCTACTACCCTCAAGACAGGATGAAGGTATGCATTACTAGAAAAAGCAGGATTCATTTCTAATCCTTTCACCTCGTACACAATGCAAAGATTCAGTTACCTCCCATTCACTTACAACTTACCTACATGCCCAATGAATACTACATTTACGTGCTCTTTTTTAGGAGCACCTGGTGGCGCTACAACAGATTTAGGTTTTGGTATTTCCTCCTCTTCTTCCATCATTTCCTGAGCGCTTTCTTCAGAAGGCCCTGAATCCACCGATGGACCACCTCCTAGTTCCGCTTCACTTGTTTCTTCTTTGTGGTCCCATGACTCTTCTGGGGACATTTCTGTCTCTCCATTTTCCACTAAAAATTAACCAATTAGATATATTCAAATAGAACAAGAAACTAAAAGCAGTGACTACTGAGAAAAGCTTCCACCCCTCAAAATGAAATGAAAAGATTTCAATTATTCAGTCTGTTAATGTATTTTTCTGTTAAGAAAAAAGGCAACTGCTGCTTGTTTCTGAAATGGTTATTTCTTGGAGCTTTCAAACTTTTTTTTGCATGCTGACATCAGAAAACTGATTCACAGAACTGAAGAGACTTCTGTTTTAATAAAGTAAAAACTTAATGGGAAAAACACATCTGAAGATCAACACAGTCTATCATGTTGGTCTGAATCTGTAGACAGCCATGTTTAGAAAGAAAAAGGGAGAAAGAATGGTTTAAGTTCTCCCATAAGCCATACAAAGAGAATGATACAATTTCCATGTTCTGATTATTCATACTAATATTTTATGTTAGTTGCCATTTCACACGTTAGTGAGACTATTTTGCAATATAAAATTGAACTTTTGAATAAAGAGCTGATGCTTTTTTCACTGTTCAAAGTAATCTAACTGCATCTGTCAATGCATACTAGTGGTCAATTATCTCTTTGCTAATCCAAGTATAAAGACACAATGAAAAACAGTAAAGACCAAAATACAATGGCTCAATAAGGTATTCTTCAATTTTGTTTACAATGATTCAGCAAAAGCACAGTAATCGTTATTTTGTAGCCCTATTATAGTGAAATTGAACAACTCTCATCTTACCAACAGATTCTGAAATTTCCATGTTAGCAGCAGCATTTGAACCTAGGAAAAAAAAAAAAAAAAGGAATCACAAACTACATCTATTTACCAAGACAGCATCAAGACCACAGAGTAATGGAGTAAATTAATAAAAGGATAATTCAGGTGATTGGGCACTTTCCTATGTTATTTAATATAGACACTCAGATTTTTAAATTTTGCTTCATGCAAGCTTTATGGCCTTCAATAAACCAGTTGGTCCTTGTGTGCCTTGCTTGACTTGGTATAACACTGTAAATAACCACTGATAACCACACTGCCTTACAACAGCAGCATGGTGACAAAGAATGAATATTAGAAAAGGATCGCACACATTTTTAAAAAGGAGATGCTTTGCAATAATTTTGTTAAAGTTTATTTAATGGAGCTACACTGCATGTTGTCAGAACATGAGAACAATTACCTTCACAAGAGGCTGTCTGCTCCTCCGGAGAAGTCTCTACGGGTGCACCTGCAAAGAAAAAAGTTCAATTTTTAAAATATACTGTTGTAACCAATTTCTACACTTAGACAGCAAAGACCATTCTTCCAACTTTATTGCCAAGTGTATTTAACAACCAAACCCCAGCAGTACTAAATATAGTTTCCAAGCACAAGTACTTATAAAGAACACTGCTTAAAAGATTTGAAAGTAAAATATCAATTCTGAACAGTTCCATCCCCAACTCCCCAGCCCCCCCCCCCCCCCCCCCCCCCCAAAAAAAAAAAAAAGGATACATTTATCAAGTTCTAAAGGAAGTAATTTTTCTGTACATAGTATTGTACCACCCCACACGTTGGGGGCACACTTGCTATTTTAAGTGTTAGTATCTAACTGATGTTTAGAAACATGGAAAACCAGTTTCACTGAAACAATGTGTTTGCCGCATCACAGCTGTATGGCAAGGTTCTCCTAGCTTCACCTTCTAGGTGTGCCTACAATGCTACTGGGACTCACATTTCACATTCTTCATAGCTTGTTTCAATGTTTTTAAGTTCTTAAAATCTTCTGCAGTTATTAGGGTCAAGAGATAATTCATTTATATACCTAGTGAGTTTGCTCTCTGAGTACCATGGCTATATTACAATGTTTAGGAGGACTGGCAAACTCACCAGTTGTGTGTATCAAGGCTACAAGTAGGTTATTTGGAAAGATCAACCTCCTTAAGCACTCAACGATGCCATTAAACTATATGCTGAGGTATAACTAATTACTAAACCTACTAAGAGTGGTATGTTCCAATTAACAATTATACCACTTCAAGTTTAGGGACGTTGTTCCACATAATCAAGAGGCATTCTAAAATTATCCCTAAAATCTTAACCTCTTTATTTTTACCGTGGTATAAAGTACACTTCAAAGTTCTTTGAAACAAGTTCATCTCCTTATTTTTTTTCACCTAACATATTCATACCCTCTATGTAACTGTACTGCCAGCTCTCCTTCAGCCCCACTATAAAAATACAGACCTTAAAGCATTACTTGCTCTATATGCATAATGGGACCTACAGATTAAAAAAAAAAATCCCTCAAAGGAACAAAAACATGTAGAGAAGGACCTGATTCTAAGCCTCTTTGCTTTAGCATTGTTTGTGTATTTTCTGCAGACTTCTATAAACTGGAGCAGCGCTGGAAAACCTGGAAGAGGTCCAGATGACAAAGCTTGCAGGCAGGGTGAATGTGGGTCAGAGCATAACACCCAGTGACCAGCAGCAGCAGAAAGGGCACAGCAACACAGACAAAACTGTTCAGAGCAAGGTTCCCTACACTCCTGTGTCATATCATACATGATCCTCATGCCAGGGTCCCAATACCACAGGAACAAAGCTTTAAAAGAATGATTTCATAGAGTAAGGAAAAACATACGGGTAGAATACCTTGAGAGTCCTTGCAAGAAATATTACTCTCATTTGAGAGCTGGAAGAGACCCAAATCATCCCACTTGAGCGTGGTAAGCAGGTGGCACAGAATCTAGGCATGAACCAAAGGCCTGTTTTGCAACGCTTCAGAAGACTGTTGGCTATTTCACACATACTGTGGTTGGCCTGCAGAGCTTTCATTACAGCGCCATTTCAGCAAGCTCAGGATTTCACTCCTGAAGTCTCTCCATAGTGAAAAACTTCTTACATGACAGTACTTACGCACTTGCCTCAAAACAGAAGCTCTACAAGTAGCTGAAGAGTTGCTTTAACTTTTAAAATACATTCATAAAAATTTTGGTTCTGACTTTCTGGTATGTAATCCAACAGGCATACAGACTAGAGAAGGAAAGAAAAGTTCCTTCACAAATAACAGATGAAATAACAAATTGTTAACCTAAGAAGTATGGAAACAGAGTTCATTCTCTCAAAGAGCAGCACTCCTGAAAGCATGCCCATCTGTTAAATTTTATACGAATCTAGGCATGCTAGAAAGAAATCAATAATATAGTTTGTGTATGGATGCCAAACAGTACTAATGCCACACAGAAACAAGGGGCAAGAGACATTCAGCTATTTCCACAGTCACTGATTAAATTCTGGTCACTTTGATACACAAAGTGGGAGACACATTTTGCAAGAGGACTTCTGTATATGAAATACATTGAAATATGCACTGTTCCTTCCAAGCAGGAAAGGAATACAAACCACTCTCTTAAAGAGTGCATTGTAGAGAAACCAAGTAAAAGAGAAATACTCTTAATTTCAAGAAGAACAGGCATTAAGTGATAGAAAGAAATCCCTTTTAGGAATTGCTTACTTCTGTTCAATGACTTCAGGTTAAGGCAGGTTATTCTGGGCACTGGTGCATTGCAAACAAATAGACGAGAGAAGTCTGGGCTTTGAAGAGTCAGATTTATCATTTGCTCTGTGTGGAAATGAGCAAATCCCCTGCAGCATGCCTGAAGACAAGCACCCCAAAAGGATGCAGTTCTACTGCTGTTTAAACTGCTGGGTTGCCATGTTGTGCTTTTTTTCTGTCCTTTCTGTTGTCAGCCCTGGTGCACAGACAACCAATGAAGTTCCACAGACAGAGCTGGTCTGACCAAAAACTGAACTAGCACAAAACTCTTTCAACCAAAAAACAGATCAGCTCTCCAAAGCAATTTATTAGCTGGTAGATAAGTGCTCCTGGTGCCATGACAGAGGTGACAGAACAGCACTCTCAATAATTCAAGGAAAAACACCTTAAGTTCTGAAGCAGCCTAGGGAATCTGTGGATCACAAAAAGACAATTTTCAATCTAGTTTAGATAGGCTTGCTACCTAGGACTCAGTACTGCATTATAACATGAGAAGAGGTCCAAACTCCATGCTGTCTCTGCAGCAAAACATCTGGACAAACCCGAACTGAAGTAACCTTGCTCATTTTCCCCATGAGGTAAACGTCATTGTAACAAAACGCCTTTAAAGGCAAGGCAAACGGAAAAAGGTTCTAAATTGCCCTTGTAACTTATCCTATTCTCTCCACTATACTCAAGCAGACATGCAAAGTTTTAAATTTGATGTTTTCTGGAAGTCAGCAAAGTAAGCTCAACATTTCAAGTTGAGCTTGACAACTCTAGATCCTCATCTGCAAGCACTCTTCAGACAGGATTCTTGTCACATGAGTGGGATTCAAAATGCAGCTTGCATGAAATACGGTTTTAAAGTCAGAACATGCCTTAAATGATGTCAAATTGTAGTTAAGTAATGTTTCAAATTCTTGGCTTTACATATGGCTAACAACAATTAGACTTTATATAGCATCCTTCATACTCCATCTCTCCTCAAACTGTAAGTCAGGAACTGCTTTTGCATTTCTGACTCGCTGCATTACAGGAGGCAAGCACTTTATCTTCAGTTCTCTTGAACATCAGAGCCCTAGGACATTTTTGTTTTAAATCAATGCTGAAGGTAAAAGTAGATACATGTGTTACATTAATCTACTGCTAGACCATTAAACAAGGACTTGATGTAATTCATAATCTCGTCTGAAAAAGGTAAAACTTTTTAAAACACAATTCTCTGAAGGAGTATGCATGGTCCCAATGAGTCCAGAAGTGCACTGTTTTTAAAGCAGGATGACTGGTCTCTTAAAACTCAATTGATGTTCCCCCCAAATAGTGCAAGAACATACTTTGACTATTTAATTCATTCTGTGTTCTACTATAGCTGATACATTTGTTGTGTATTGCATCCAGTTTTGTACTTGCATGCGTTTTGGTTGTACAATAACCAAGACTGCACAAGTAGAACCAATTAAAAGTTAAAGTATGTTTTTCACTCTGAAAATATTGTTTTAAAATAGTATATAAGCCAGGAACATAACAACATTAGTAGTTTAGGACAGTAGTTTAGCAATTTCAACAGAAAACTGCTTTAGAATTAAATTTGTATTAGAATGGAACAAGATTTTCAAGTATGGGCCAGGTATAGCTGGTATGCTGAGGACCGATATCAGAAGTGTTGTTCCAGTGACAGGGTAAGGCCTGCTGAGACCCCTCCACTTCATCACAAAGCACTGCATACTGGAGCAAACACAGGGTCACAGCTGGCCAGCTGTGGAAAGAAAATACAGAAAAAGAAGTAGCTAACTTCAAATGGCATGCAATCAGACGTTCTGCCTCCTGCTAGCCAGAGTGCACAGTGTTACTTGCTGGTCTGGAAGAATGTGTGGCACAACAGGGTCGCGGTTTAGTGATGGGACTTGATAGGTCAGGCTGATGGTTGGCCTCAATCTTGAAGGTCTTTTCCAACCTAGATGAATCCGCAGCTCAGGTACAGTCTTACAGCCAAACTCAAGTGCCAAGCAGTAACAACAGCTCCAGCTACACCTGAACCGGAGCATTTCCCAGACGCACAGAATAAGCAGATAGCTATCTCCACATAAGCACATCCTATTCAGTGGGAACTCCCCAGAAGCAGCTACCTGAAGCCACAGTGCAAATGCCTTCATAGAGTCAGTTATCATGGCTTGAAGAGAGGCCGTAATTTGTCTCTCTGCCTAACAGAACTCGGCTCCCAGGCTGCTCTGCTGCAGGAGAGATAAGAACCTCAGCAGTGCTGGTACCAGACAAGTGAGGTTGAAAATGGGGCTAGCAAAATGGTTTGTACAACAGAGCATAAAGGGAAAGGAAAAACAACAACAACAAAAAAAAAAGGGGACAAATTCCATTTGAAACAAGTCTCATCTGCAAAACTTAAGATCGTCTGGACAGCAAGTGTGTTGTTGCTGCTCCAACACAGGCAAAAAGTTCCTTCAGAGGAATTCCTAGAAGGCTAGGGAGTAAAGAAATGCCTTACACCCACCTTAGGATTTCCACCACCTTTTCTTACTTGTGGTTTGAATATCTGAGTTCAGTGTATATTTACAAAATAGTCATTGTCTCAAAAATTTTAATGAATTACGTAACATGTGTTTGTCCCTAACCTTCTCCCTTTTTTCTCTAAAAAGAAAGTATAAAGAAAGTAAAATCACACCGAAGTAGAAAATTAAAGGTCCAAGTCAACC